CTCATTTTCTACAAGCAACTGTTTTGCACCCTGATTGGGAGAAGGTGTCTAGCTAAAGCCCTGTGACAAAGAACTATCGGGCACAATGGGACCAGTTGAAGCTTGAAGATGGTATTCTTCTCCGGAGATGGGGAACTGCAGATGGAAAAGTGACAACCTGGCAAACAGTTATACCAAGAAAGTTACGGGAAGTTGTGCTGCGCCAATCCCATGATAGTTTAACAGGAGGACATCTTGGAGTTAAGAAGACATTGAATTACCTACAACAGGGATTTTACTGGATAGGTACGAGGCCAGATGTGGAAGAATGGTGCAGGACATGCAGTACATGTTGTGCTAAAGGGGACCCAAGCATAAGGGAAGTGCTCCAATGAAATTATATCAAGTTGGCACACCAATGGAAAGAGTAGCCATTGACATTGCTGGTCCTTTGCCTCAAACTCGTGCTGGAAACATTTACATTTATGTGGTGATGGATTATTTCACTAAGTGGCCTGAGGCATATGCAATACCAAATCAGGAAGCTACAACTGTAGCTTCAGCTATTAGTGATTTCTTCTTCAGGTTTGGTATACCATATGAACTGCATTCAGATCAAGGCCGTAACTTTGAATCAGCTGTGTTCCATGAATGCTGCAAGTTGTTTAGCATACGAAAGACCAGGACAACGCCATTTCACCCACAGTATGATGGGATGGTAGAACAGTACAATTAGACACTGGAACAGGAATTGGCAAAGTTTTGTAATAGCTGCCAAGATGACTGGGATGTCTTACTCCCTCCGCTATTGATGGCCTATAGAACAGCCACTGGATACACTCCAGTAAAGCTGATGTTTGGTCGGGAACTTCTGTTGCCAGTGGACCTCATAACAGGACGCCCACCTTACAAAGAGTTGCCTGAAAATGTGCCAGAATTCGTGAAAATGTTATCTGAAAGGATAGATGATATTCATCATCAAGTACATTCAAACTTAAAAACGTCTGCTGATTCCATGAAGCTATGTTATGATAAGAAAGCTACTGAAGTCAGATTTGTACCAGGAGACAAGATGTGGTTGTATAATCCCAGGAAGACCAAAGGGAAGTCTCCTAAGTTGTCTTCTCCATGGGAAGGCCCATATGACATAGTGGATCGTCTCTCAGACGTGACTTACCGAATAAAATGTGGTGAGCGAGGT